CACCTAGAAGAATGTTTGACAGGAAAACAGTTTGAACTTGGCCAAGGGCCACAGATGAAAATCACCCACCTTCGGTTTGGTAGCATAACTTCCTTTCCACTAGGCCAACATAGCTCTCTCTTACATGAATATGAGGCTTCAAAAAATACCAAGGCTTGTGCATTGACATCTTTGTTTTTCAAAACTTCAAGGAGGTCTTTTACTGCAGAGCTGTCCAATGTGCACTGTCATATGATGTTCTCTTGCTCTCCATGGCATGCAAAAGAAAATCCTTTACAGATTCAATCTTTTCTCCAGCTATCATGGTATTGTTTATTGGTCCAATTGTAAGAATTTTTGTTTCCTTTATGTTGAGGTATAATCCATACTTAAGTCTTTGGTCTTCATTAGTATTTGAAGTCCACTTCAGCTAGCAAAGCTGTGACATACATACATAACAGGTCATTGATGGGTCTTCTTTCAATTCTGATGCCACATTCTTCAAACTGATCCATTTCTTGGGTTATTTGCTCAGTATACAGATTGCATAAGTATGGTAGAAAGATACAACTAAAGCACACTGTCTGTGATTTCAAATATAGTAGCCCTTTAGTCAAAAGACTGTCTCTTAATCTATATACATATTCTGTCTTGACCCACTTAAATGTTCTCATCCACACAATCAAAACCTTTGAACACTCAACAAAACACAAGTAAACAAACATCTTTCTGATATTCTCTGCTTTTATCTAAGATCCAACTCCCAGCAGCAATAATGTCAGTTATTCCATGTTCTCTTCTGTAAATGGCTTGAATTTCTGGCAGTTTCCTACTGAAGCACTGCTGTAATTATCTTTAGTAAAAATTGTCTTCTGTAAAATTAATGTTCAGTACAATTTTACTTGCATATGTTATTAATGATACTGCTTCCAGAGTGAAAACTTCCAGAATTAGATTAATTCACTGAAACAGGTCAATTGGTATTTGATGGGTTACTGGACCATGTTTTTCATCAAGGGAGCTCTGGTGGCATACTCCACAGGGAGCTGCACTGCTAACCAAAGGCCACAGCTCTTAGGTAGTTCAAATCCACCAGCTTGCTCTAGGGGAGAAACATGAGCATTTTCCCCCCGTATACTTGAAAATACATACACAGCCTCACAAACTCACTAGATTAGCTTCCATTAGCTTCCAACTTGATGGCAATGAGCTGAGCTGGTTTTCACCAATTCTTCCAGTGTAGTTTGGATTTCTTCCATCAGGAGTATCAATTCTTCAGGATAGGCTGCATCTTGAAATGGCTGCATATTGGCCAATTCTTGGCACAGCAGTTCTGTGTATTCCTTCCACCTTCTTTTTATTCTTCTTGTGTCAATTCAGTATTTTGATTTTGGAATCTCTTAACAGTAAAACTCAAGGCTTGAATTTTTTCTTTAGTACTTTGTTTGACAAATGCCAAGTATTTTCTTTCTTCTTGGTTTTCTAACTCTAGGCCTTTGTACATGTCTTTATCATACTTTCCTTTGTCCTCTCAAGCCACTCTTTGAACTCTTCCATTCAGTTTAGTGAATATCACAATACATAGAAAAAAGACACTAAAAGGATAAACTGCTCTTTTAATCCATAAACACTCTATTCTTAAATGATTTGGTACTCTTCTGTTGGAAGAAACAGTAGTAAAAATAGGAAATTGATGCTAAATATCTTGTTGTGTGTCATAGAGTCGGAACCGACTCATAGCTGACCCTCTGGTGGGTTTTCAGAGGCAGCTAATTACACGGGAATCGAGAGAGCACTGTCTATCCTTCTCCCGAGGAGCAGCCAGTGGCCTTAAACGGCATGCCTTCGGGATTACAGTGCAGCTTCTTGCCGCTTAGCCACCAGAGTTAGCTTTTATTATTTTCATTAAAATCTTCAATGTCAGGATGAATCAGAGCAATTTATACTTTCTCTTTGCTTAGAACGTAAAATTTTACTGTACATACTGCACTCTTAA